TTACGTAATTGTCTTTTAGAGGAACCGTAGACCATATCATAGATGTATAGTCAAATCATTTATGACTCTCTTTTCCACTCTTGGGTTGGAACAATCACAGGAATATTGCAATTGTAAAGAACACAAATCATATATTGGGTATAGCACATCCATATTTTTGATTTAAGAAAGCCTGCTGGTACAAATGAAAGTTTGCTACAGATCTTTAGAGCTAATCAGTAAAAGAGGGACAAGGACAGTAATATAAATATAAACTGAATATAAACTTTGTTTAATGTAGAATCTCCAATCTGCCCGTTCCTCCTCAGTCACCCCACCTTACCAAACATCTTCAAGCAATGGCTATGGATGATGAGCCTTGTGTCCAAAATATATGGAGGTGTTGTGGTCCGCCAGCAGCCTGCGGAGCTGGTAGCAGAGTCGGACAATGAGGAGGCTGGGGAGGACCATGGGCCAATCCTGGAGTCAGGGGAAGGCCTGAACGAGGGCTCGGCATCGGAGACAGAGAGATGGGACCAGGGCCATCTGGGAGCGATATGCAGACTCCGGAGCCTCCAGAGGCGGACAGCAGAGAGGCAGAGGAACAGGAGGAGCCTGTTCCTAGTGCACGCATGCGAAGAGCTGCCAGAAAGCAAGAGCAGCTAAAGCAAAAAAGGACGACTCAGGAGTAAGGCCAGGAGATGATTGGCCCCTCCCATAAGGCTTAAAAGAGCAGCAAAGGCTCTTGGGCTCTTTCTGTAAAGCAATGTTGCTACATATGTTTCTTGTCAGCATCTCTTGTTTCTGAACTTTGTGGGGCTTTGCCAAGAAAAGCCTTTGGCAGGTTGTCAAAGAAGACAAAGGTTTGTGATAAAGCCAAAGGACTTTTTCTGAAGGACTTGTTTTGGAATTAATTTGGACTAAGCTGAGAATGAAGTAATTCTCAGTTGTTCTAATAAAATATGTTTGTTTAGGACTGATTGTGTCTGGTAATAACTACTTGGTCCTATCTCACAACAGGAGGATAATAGACAGGGGAAGGTTTCATCAATAAGGGGAATGTGAGAAGTTACTTACATTAAGAAAGACAATCTTGTTTATCTTGCTGTGGGCTTCCTGAATATCCAATGATTGTCTACTATGTCTACTTTGGACTAACTAACTGTTAGTAAATTGCCTACCATGGACTAAATGAGCTCTTAGCTGGACCTAGCAAGATTCTTTCGATGTCTTCTCTTCTTAATTTGTCCATCTAGATTAGCACTGCCTGGAGCAGCTTTTAAGGGTTTCCAAGTGATCCTTTCCAGTTGCCCTAGTCAGAGAGTAAATCCAGAACCTTTTGCATCCATTACATGTGTTGCACTCCAGAACAAAAATCCTTTCCTAGATTTTCTGCTTTAGCTTCCAGCATTACTTATTGTTGGTGGGAGGTTTCTCTATGGAACTGAGCTGCTTCTGCACACAACTACCGTATTCTTCAGAATATAAGATGCACCTTTTCCCCCCAAAAAAGAGGGTGAATATCTGGGTGCGTCTTATACTCCGAATGTAGCCCCGCCCAGCAGTGATGGGTTCCAACCGGTGTTACCACCGGTTCTTTTCGTGCACGCTCTTTGCGCCTTAGATTTCTGCCCAGCTGAGATGCAGCAATCCACTCTACCATGCCTATCAGCTGGGCTAAAAAACAACAAATAAAGATAGGTATAACATGGGGGCGGGTGGGAGGGCCCCCAAGAGCCAAGGACCCCACAAACTACCTAATTTCCCCCATCTCAAAGGCAACTAATGACAGTAAGAATCCTGCCACTCAACTCCAATATCTATAAAAATCTTAGGTCTTAGAAAAAAGGTGGGAGTGGTATTTAAAACACATACATAATACATACATATATACACACACACACACACACACACACACACAATACACACACACACATATTTATAAACAAATATTCATATATACTCAATTATATACATTTATATTCATATAAATATATATACTGCTCAAAAAAATAAAGGGAACACAAGCAGAAGACATCAGGGATCTGAATGAATGAAATAGCCTTATTAAATACTTTGTTATTTACATACAGTAGTTTATACACTGCTCAAACACACTAAAGGGAACACAAAACTACTGTATGTAACGAAGGAAGTATTTAATAAGGCTATTTCATTCATTCAGATCTCGGATGTCTTCTGCTTGTGTTCCCTTTATTTTTTTGAGCAGTGTATGTATGATTATGTATGTATGTATGTATATATGTATGTATGTATGTATTTCTCTTTAGCCAGTTCTTCCTACGTAAACCAAGATTTTTATGCAGCCCTAATTCAGTAAAATCACAATCCACTAGTTTCTAGGTTTTTTTCTGGCAGCCAGCAAACACTCTGCTGCCCATTGGGAGACTAAGGAGCAGCAGAGTGTTTGCTGGCTGCCAGAAAAAAAACCTAGAAACTAGTGGATTGTGATTTCACTGAACTAGGGCTGC